ACTTCCAACAGGACAATGATCTGAAGCATCAAACAAATCCACAAATAAAGAAATTTCAAGCCTTAGAACAGACTCATCAAAGTCTTGATCAAAACCAAATTGAAAATCTGTGATTCATGTAAAAGAAGGCAGTGCATGCAAGAATCACAGGTAAAATCAAGCAATTGTGGGAATTTTGCTAAAAAGCATGGTCAAAAATTAGCACTCACTACTGCGAAAATCTTCTTAAAGGTTACAGAAAAAGACTGTTTGACATTATAACCTCAAAAGAAGCAGTCACCAAATATTAAATGTAAGGTTCACATACTTTTGCACATCTTGATTTTTAATTTTGAATTAATATTTTTTATTCCAGCTTGATAAAAACTTTATATAAGTGATTGTAATTGATTTAATAAAGATTTTCTTTTTAATAAATATATGGTTTAATTAAGATTTGTTGATCATCTGGAAAAAGAAACAACTTTTTTAAATCTTAGGAGTTCACTTACTTTTGCCCAACACTGTATATATGTTATCTTTTATTGTGTAGATATCATTCTACAATAAAGTTTGTACAATGTAGATATTTTTCCTTGTAGATAACAAGTGAAAGTAGCACCATGTTTTATCCTAAATACAAGATCAGTAAAACGTTTTATTATTTTATATTTTGGCCAACACTGATGCAAAGCCACAACTGTGGGATATCCAATGAAGATCAAATGCTCAACAATAGTCATTGTTTGTCTGAGGAGTTTAGTCATTATTATTGCATGGGTAACATGACCAAAGCTATGTTCCCTCAGGATGTAAGTAATCATGGTTCTCTACAGAAAATAACTCTATATCTAACTCTATGGAAAAAAAATGTATAAATTGATTTCTCTTTGAATTAAAACTGCTTTCTGCAAGTTTTTTTCTATTTTAAAGTGAAATTACTGAAAGTCCTTTAATTACTGAACCTTCCATAGATCTCCTTTCCTCACAAAACTACTGCTGTTATTATGTCATATGATTTTAAACCAGAGTGATAAAAACAATTGAAATCTGAATGACACTAGCTAAATTAAACATCTTGATACACCTAATGTGAAAATTGTAAGCTGAGCATCCCTGCATTATTTGGTGGGAAAGTGACTGAAGCCAAGATGCTCGGTCAGGACCAATAACATTGCAGAATCTTCTTTGGATTTTATCAAGAATCTCTAAATATATAACATGAGAATCAGACCAGATGTGGCAGCAACATTCAAAACAAAGATGAATGGTAGATTTATAAATAGGTAAGATGGATTCTGGTAAGAAAAAATGTCTATCAGAACACAGTGAAAAACCTTTTCTAGCAGCAGACCTAGCAAATGATTCAATATAATCTTTTCACTTCATCTCAGGGAAAAATGAATCACTGTCTTGGAGGTTAGCATCAGCCATACTGATGGAAGTTAAAAAAAGGTTCTTTCAGATGATTAAAAGAGAGCAATTTTGTTTTGGGTGCATTAAGATTAACAAGCCATACCTTATCCTAGTTAAAACAGATTGTTGGTCATCTTTTTAGACCAGCTGCCAATTTGACCTTATCAAACTGATCACTATTTACCCATAGCTGGGACCCTAACAGGTACTATCACCCAGGGTCAGGATGGACCTGGGAACAACAGCAATTAAAAGGTCACATGAGTTGATAAATGTCTGCAATTTTTGCTGCAAAAATTTGGTTGTTCACCACATTTCAGAATTATAGAGCAGTACCAATTTGACACTGGAGTTATGATGTTAATTTTTGTAGTTGTACCAATTTCCCTATAGGTGTAAATTATAGGCTAATAAAAACCTGTTATTAATTACAAGTTTATACCTGTAACCAATTAATGCCTGCTGTTCTATTTTTGGGACACTAAGCTCAAATAGAACTAATTATCTTGACTAGTGTATGTTTTATAATAACTGTAAATGAAATATTACAGCTAACTGCATGATCAATAAAGAGCTGAATAAATTTCTAAGACTTCTCTAATATTGTTCAAAAGACAATGCTGGGAACTTTAATATGAACTCTTACACATGAATGCAATATGGCTCCTTGCAAATATAATTCTCAGAGTTAACAGCTAATCTTTTGTAGTAAATGAGATTTTCACTGCTAAAAAAAAAAGAAAAAAAAATCAATTTGATTTTCCCTTACCCCAGTCCAGGACCCCCATCTTCAATTTGGATATCCCTGTCCAGAGATTTCTTTGATGTTTCTTGGTTTTAATTAACTAAAAGAAAGGACTCCCAGAAAAAAAAAAAAAAAAAAGCTTCTTTTGCTGTTCTTCCTTTCAATTTAGCTGCAAATATTGAAGGTTCATTCTTTGGCCTTATATTTATCTTGAAGACTTACATTCAGAAAATGGATTGGAAAGGAAAGCAAATAGGATTTTCTTCTCAAGACAAAGAGACTTAAAAATACCACTTGTCATTTAAGATCTTATAATCTTGTATAAAAATCTTTAAATATATTTTTTAACCCTGTGGTAGA